TTTTTCTGTATCTTCAATTGTTCCCACGCCTAGAGCTCAACATCGTCCCAGCCCAAATATGGATCTCATGGGAAATGTGTATGAATGTAGAGTGAATAAAAAACATGTCTTATGTGAAAACACTGAGGAGTAGTGGCCGTTCGATTACGATACACGATCATAGTGAATCTATCTATTATCTGCCATTTTCAAGAAGATGTTGATTATTCTCTGGATGTGGGATGACGAAAGAGGAAGTAAGAGTCAGTGCCGCCTTTAATGGAAAAACCCACAAGCATTTGTTCTAAAATAAAACTGCACTCACGAGGATCCATAAAAGACCAAGTGGGGTTGTAAACAAAGGACTGAGGCAAGTGCACAGACATGTTCAGAGCTGAACTGCTGGAACTGGGCTGCCTTGATCAGCCCACATAATCTAATATCCACAACACAGAGTCAACAACAGTCTTTGATGTGTGCCACAGACATTTAAATCACTGTACTTCGGCTTCCAGGGCTGAAGACTTCACTTTGCAATAGTCCTCATTAAGATCAACTCTGAGCCACAGCTGCCCTATAACAAGTGTTGACTACTACTTAAGTAAAACACCACATTAGTTTTCTATTGGCATATCCAGCTTACGTGAATGCTTGTTGGGCATCTTTGACATCCTCTGACGTCTACCTCATCGCCCTGCATCATGTTACCGAGCAGCAGCAGCAGCAGCAGCAGCAGCATGTTGAAGAATGCAGCAGGTAATATGGAGCACAGCAGTACGGAAAAAGGATTAGGGCCACTGCAGAAATGTCTTTAAGTTTTTTCCTCAGAATTCAGAGTCTAAAAGACAGAATTCAGAAATAAAAACACAGAACTCCACATGTTTGTCAGTGGCCCAAATCCGCCTTCCTCACAGAAGACACTGTTCACTGAGATTGACATTCATACCTTCTGATAAGCCAGTTGGAGATAGTTGTATGGGATCCTCCTTTGGAAGTCCTGCACTACATCCTCGCTGACTTTATGCAAAGACTGCGAGCCGAGTTTCTCCTCGATGCATGAGTTCATGCACGCTGCTCTCCGGAGGACGACGTCGAAGAAGCGCACGTCGGTGAATGCCTCATCAAACGGATGCTGGTCCTGACACCTCAGCCGACATCGGACTCTGGTGCGGCGGACCTCAGTGTAGCTACTGAGCGCTCCCTCCATGTAGAGTACCACGTTTTCATACTCGCTGTTGTAGAACGCCTGCACTGCATTGTTGTATAAAAGGTCATATGGCTCCAAAAAAGCCGAAGAAGGTGACAACGCCAGAGTTAGCAGGACTACTGAGAAAATAGCAGCCGGGTAAAAGTTTCCATCCATCCTCTGCTCCTTGGGTTCAGACGGTGAGGAGGCGGTGAGCAGACACAGTCAAGTTGTCAGTCACAACAACAGGCTCGTGTTGGAGTCCATTTAAACTCCTCAGTGATTCTCAGGACGTATCAAGGCCAGGGCGGAAATAATGTTGCTTCGGGTCGGGGACACACATTTTGTTGTTGTGACCCCTCTCTTTGCTCTGCTAACTCCTCCCCTCCAGGAGATGAATGGGCAGAACACATTCACATCGCGCGCTCCTACAGGCTGCTGGAGCAGGCGCGAGGGGCGCCGCAGGGGTCCTTTAAGACGTCTCGACTCGTGGGTGGCAGTAACAGCATAGTATTTTACTTGCCTATAGCCTATTTCACCCAACGAAAAAAAATTAAGTTGGACTACTGGTTATAGTTTTTTTGTTTTTGTTTTAAGTTAACAATCAGTTGTAGCTTCTTGAGATTACTTTGGACATTTCTAAGGCTCTGAGGACACTTTAAAAAGAGGAAGAGTTGGTTCCTTCCCCGGTTGAGTGAAGGAGTCAAGTGACTATGTCTCTGTTAAGCAAAGGCGACAAAAATAAAGATGACTTGAACATCAGAGGCTAAAGTTGAAAATAAAGTGCACGTATAGCTCCCGTGAAGGACAGTGATTCTGTATTAAAGAGATATTTGAGTTGCCTAATAGACATAACATTATTACAAAAGCCTATTTACAAGGAAACACTGGCGTTGAGGAACGCTGCTTGTATTTTGAGTTGAGTGAGTGTTTGTGAAACGCGTTTACAATCCATTTAAAGAGGTTTGTCTCCCTCTGGAGGCATTTCCCCTTACAATCCCAAATTATGGACTCCGGACAAACTTTAAACTCTGACAGAGAGCCACTAGAGGGCAGAAACCTCCTTTTTTTAAAAAAATGAACTGTACCTCCAGCAATATTAAACATAGAAGGAAAACATCAAACACTTTCTCATACAATTAGAGATTATAGTCCCTGGTTTGTTTTTCCTTCACAACGTCCAAAATATAGCCTATATACAAACTTGACAAAGTAGCAAGAATGTGTTGGCTATACAATGGCAATCACTGCAACATTACTTTTTTTTTATTAACACTCAATTGTAATGCTGTGTTGTTTCTGACAATAGCCTGAATCCACCCATGTAGGTGTTAAAAAATAAACGGTTGTTGTTGTTGACACAAGACAGATAGACCCACCCACATGTTTGCTCTGTTGTACTCTTTTAATCCAGAATGTTTCCTTATTAACATCTTAATGAAATGTATAAAGGCCAAAACTATAAATAGTAGTTTACTTCAGTGAGTGACACATCATGGAAACTGGTTGAACCCTGCCTTGCATTCTTTAACACTTTGTGTACGTATGTTTTTTTCTTGGGTACGTTTTTGATTGATAGTCTGTCAGAGAAACTTAAAAAGGCATATAAAACCAAACTTGAAAGGTAAAAACAACGTAGAGAAACAGATGAACTTAAAAAGGAAATACTTTAAGGTTCACTTCATTCAGATGCAAAAAATGATAATCAAAGGAGATGTGTCACAGTGCCTTCACTATAAAAAAAAAGAGGTCAAATTCTACACAACACAAGATGATTGAGCATTTTATCAGAATAAATAATCAGTTTTGTTTCCACCAAGTACTTTACCTGTACATTCGTCCATTTTGCATCTTGTTATTTTACTTTCAATTCTTCTTATAATTTTCAGGAAGTTTTAAATGCTCCAGGCTGCAGTGAGTCAGTCCTCTTCATTGGTTTACATCCACCGAAAACAACACAGTCTCCTGATTTTTGTTTGGTTTAAAATGGAGAATGGGGTCATTAAGTCTGGTAATTTGAAGCTGTTTTTGTTTGGCTTGATGTTTTAGGAAAACCCTGATAACAGCAGGCCTTGCTGGATCATTTAATTGTATATCCCTTTCCTCTGCTATTCATATCTATTATCAAGATCAATTACGTTAACAAAACAGGACTTAAGCTCCACGACACAGTTTCAGTTTTGTGTTATGAAAATCCGTTATCCATTACTCAAATCCTCTCTTGGGGTTTGGCTGAGAGATACTGTGTCATAATCTTAACTTTTATTTATATGCTTCAACATGTTCAGTTCTCATTTTGTACTTGTCACATGCTTTTCGTATCATTCTAAAAAAAATAATGTGACCAATGTCAAGAAATTATTGTTAGTCACCTTCCAGGAACTTTGTTGCTCATTGAATAGTTTACTGCACTTGTTATTTTTCAGTACTTTTTCCACCCTTTATCTCCCAACAACAATGACTCACACATCTGGGCTTTACTGAATTTGTCAGACTTTTTCTAATTGATTCTCTTCCCTGAGTTAACCGTGGTAGCAGCTGTGATAACAGATGCCAGTAAATGCAGTGTTTAGAGGGTAAAATGACTGTAGATACGGGAGGAAGGAAGCTGTTTCAGTGTCAGGAAAGCCTGTAATTACTGGAGCACATTTAGCCTTTTTAGGACAACGGGATCCACTTTGACAAAGAACAGCAGAAACTTATAAAGTCTATACAGTTTGAAATCAACGACAACATGTCTTTGTCAATGTTCTAAATCTCTTCTGAACTTTACATTAAATCAATAAACTTAATTTGAAACTTGAAGGAGATTGAGGAAAATCATTAGCAAATAGTTCATTTAAGCCTGTCATGCTTCATTACATCACACGGACTCATTCAATTTGGTGGTTTGTTTTTTCGTTCTCCTTTGATGCCGCTCTTCAAACAGAGACTCAGGTCTCTTTTAGTGTCCCACAAAGATCTCGCCAGCTGTGCAGAGTAACAGGACACGTTACTAAATGCTGCTACTGTTTACAACTAAGTGGTGCTTTTACTTGAGTAATTCCATTTCATCCTTCTATAGTCCTCTAGAGCAGTGGTTCTCAACTGGTGGGTCGGGACCCAAAAGTGGGTCGCTGAGCCATTTTCAGTGGGTCGCAAACATGTGACTGTGAAAAAAAACGTGTAAAAAGTCTATGAAGCGCTCTTAAAACACGTTGGTTTTTTTCCTTTTTATATTATGTACCATTCGAGGTCCAAACTGCACTATTTTTCATTCAATAAATCTGATTGGTTGAAAAATTATCAGAAACTTGGGTCACGATATTTATGAAGGAATTGGTGGTGGGTCCTTAGACTAGACCAGTTGAGAACCACTGCTCTAGAGAATATATTCCTTTCACTTTTATTTTACAGACTTACTTATAACTTTATATTATATTCACATGATGTGTTTTTGTAGAATATTTGACTTTAAATAGACTTATTTATAAATACTTCTGTAGTTTGGTAAAATTGGAATTCAGGACTTTGTGTTTTCCTGTATGATAAAGTAAGTTGTAAATACCTTGCTGTGATTTAGCCTGATGTTTTAAGTAATAAACAGAAAACTCAGCTACCAACATTAAGTAAAAAAAAAAGTTTGTTTATTCTTTTCAAAATATAGGCTACATATGGTTATTTTGTACTCTGACACAGTATTTGACACAACAAAAAAATAACCAAATTACTGAGAAAACATTGAAATGTAGTCATATATTGACATGAAAGGATCCATCATCAGTAGTGTGAACTTAGAGAGGTAAATGGGATGTATTTAAGGGAAAACACAATACAAAAATGTTGAAGTCGGGCTTCAAAACTCTCTGTCTACACTTCAATGAAACAAACATACTGAATTCATTATTGATGATTTCTTACTGTTACAAAGTCATTGTTTAAATGCACTGATAGACCTGAAATAATGAACTCACTTGAAAATTGACTATGAAGTAAATTAAAAGTTTAATCCTTTACCTTTTTTGTCTGAATGGATTTACATGGACTGATAAACAAAAAGAAATAAAAAAAAAAAAAAAAAAAAAAAAAAAAAACTGGGATTCAGAGTCTGTACACACAGTCTGGTTTTGTGAGCAATCCTGATGCTGGTTCCTGACTCGTGGTACAGAAGGTAGTATTCAATAATCCTGGACTGGGTTACAGTTCATCATCACAGCCTGCCATCCTGCTCAAGTTTGTAAAATCACTGCTGGTCTGAGGCCTCTGCATGGCCTTCTGCTGTTCTCTCCTCTAGACATAGTTGGATTTCTGGTTACTGCCTGATGGGAGGAGGTGGTTTACACTGATGGACTCAGGCGACTCGTCCGGGAGCACCTCCGACAGCTCAGGAAAGCACCACCAGCCATCGTAAGGAGGCCTCCAGCCCAGCTGACAAAAACCGCCTTACCAAACTCGTAGCTGTGGAGATAGCATAGATGCACATTTACATAGATTGTCATTCACAGAATAACCGGTAACTTTTTGTGTTTTTCTTTCTGTTTGTGTGTGGTTTATACCTTTCCAGGTGATGGGATACTTGGAAGGTATGAACAATCGTGCTGACATACCAGGAGGTTATGACCAGGGTCAACAAACCTGAAGAATGACATGAATCAAAATGTTCAACACAAACATGCTCATTTCATCTATTTCTTCAACTGTACTATGTTTTTTATTCTACAGTTTGATTATTGATTTAAGGTTTAAGTCTTTTTAGTGCGGGGAAAGATGATGGATAGTTCAATGAATGATGAAGAAGCTCAATTCAACCGCTCACTGTTGTTCTGGTTATACTTCTGCTCACGTGGCAGCAGAAACATTCTGCTCTCTTTCCCACCAGTTGTGTTGTTGTCTTTAGACCGTGATGTGTTAGTCCATCACAGTAACATATTTTATTTAATTCGTCTTGGTTGATTTTCATACTTTCACACAGCTCCTGGGTTATTTCAAGTGATTCCACAGACTTAGTGATTATTAAAACATTTAGTCTTTATTTTAAGATCTAATTTCTGTTTTCTTATAGTTATGTGGTTTCTTTCTGGCTTATCTTTCTAACATTTTTTGTCTTTAAAAATACCTTTAGTTTTGCCCTCATTAGCTAAGCCCAACAAGGTCAAAAAGACATTAATATTGACCAGACTTTCCTGATTTAATAAAGATTCATTGACAGATTTTAACTAAAGAAGAACAAAGATGAAGAAATGTCATAATCGTACAGGACAAATTATGTAGTTTGACTGCCATTCAACACACCTGCAATAATGAACAGGATTCCTCCGACCATGGTTGTGATGGATTTGCTTTCAGGCCTTCCGTCCAGGAAGTGTGTGCACTTCATCCCCACTGTGGAGACCAGCACAGCCACAACAGAGAGCAATATGCTGAGCAGCATCACAGCCCTGGTAGCCTGGATCTCGGCTAGAGGAATACAATAGGGGAACATTAGTATGTTTATACAGTAAACCTATCATTTATACAGATTACAGATGTTGGAGAAGATCCATTCCGTTAATTGCATAGAGCTAGTTACTAATATTTCTTATTTTTGAAAGTAAAGGTAGGGTCCTACAATTTTTTTGTTTATCATATAGGATTACCGTTTTAACAGAAAGGGAAACTGAAGATGAAATTAAAAATAATGCATTAAATAAAATATTGGAAGGACCTATATTTAACAAGATTATATCATCATGACCTTACACATTCCTTCAGACTGATGTAATGACGTCAGGTGAGGCCAATCCACAGGGTTAACACAACAAAGACGCACTTCTGGCTAATATTAGTAACTTATCATCAGTGGAAGGTATCTCAACAGGCAGTGTCTGGCTTTCAGAGCTGATGCAGATGTGATAAAAAAAAAAAAAAAAAACACAACATACTTGGAAGCTTGAGGAGGGACTGATATAGTTCACAAGTTGTTCTCTCGTAGCCGCTGCAGCTCATCCACAAGCCCTCGTGGATGCGGTGCGTCTTTCCCTGATACTGCTTTTTCCATTCAACCATTAAAGTAGCGGCGACTGTGGCAGCGAGACCGACCAGAGAGAGGAGGAAACCGAGCAGCTGCAGTCCCGTGCTGGCCATCGTGTCCAGATATGCAGGAGCGGGAAAGTTCAAACAATTAAAAAGAAAAGTCCGAGAATTTGATTCAAAGCAAACACTTAAGGTGAGCAGAAGTTGTTGAAAAACAGATTGATCGATGCAGAGTGATGTCTGTTTAAATCCCTCTCGCAGCTCCCTGGACCGTTATATGTGCGCGCTGCTGCAGCCTCTATTTAAAGTCGAGGGCGCGTGACGCATTGGGAGGTATCTACTCCACCTGCAGCTGATAAAGAGAGGAGAGATGTGTTTCTTATAAATCATATCAGAGCAATTCACAGGTTCTAGTAAACAAGGTGACGATTCTTAGAGGAAAATGCTGACATGACACCAAAATAGATTCACTGAATTGATTGCTGAATAATCTCTTCTGACATTTAAGCAGGCTGACTGACCAGAGGCTTCATGCTTCATTCCTCAAGTGGCTTTTGTCCAAAGAACATTAGTGGTGTCCATTTTCATTGAACTTTAATGGTTTCAATCCAACTTTACACAGCTTTGGAAATGAATGGGAGACCACATTTGATCACAAATACAATATTTCACAAACCTTAAAAAGTCTCCAGCTGTAATTTCTGATACAGATGTAGGTCTATGCTATCATCTTTACAAACTAATTTTTCCAAGACACCAATAAATACCAATGAGTTACACAATGTGCCCCGTGTTTGTAATGAAGAGCCTGTTATCGTGTCCATTGGCTCCATTTTACCACATTGGGCATCAAAACTAAAATGGTTGTGTTGTAGGCATAAGCATTGATTGCAATAGCCTGGTTAGTCTCTATTTTTGAGAGAAAATTAATGACAGGCTTAAAGCTCATTAGGCCAACTTGTTTTTCTCTTTTTTATTACCCACTGCCCACAAGAACACCCCACATTTGAGCAATCTAGCTAGCACTGTAAGGGGACCAAACTGTCAGTCTATAACAACACATATTATGACCTCATACCTTGACCTAAAAAGAAAAAAAATTGTGGTTGTATTTTTATTTGCATATCTTTTTTGTATTACTAACTGTGGACATTGTATGTTTGCATGAAACAGAATGAAGGAGCTTAATAAAGTTGCTACTGAATTGTTCTACTGCAATATACTGCAATAATGTAAATATAATGGGAAGGTAATAAGGGGAAGAGAAAATTGAAACATACAGTAGCAGTAACTTAATCTAGGACTTACTGTCTAAAAAATATTCGTTCACGTCTCTGTTCATTTACAGTTAGAATATAAAGAAAGAAAAAAGCAAATAAACCAGTAAAAGAGGCGTCTATTGGCTCAAAGAAGAGAGGCATCACATGCTCAATTGTCATTCTTTTCTGCAGCAATTAACAACAGCAAGCTTGTTTCTATGTGAACAAACAGGGTTCATTTTAACCCAGACAATTACCGACTGATGTGACCATATTTGGTGTGGGATGCCAGTTTGTAAACACTCAGCAGTTGTCTCTTAGATTGGATCAGTGTCCACCCTTTCCTGAAATAAACCATCAAAATATTTTGACCCAATTCAACTCAGAGCTCCCTTCTGTATACGTCTAAAGCTGTTGGTGTTTGGTATTCCCCCATAGCCAGTATTTTATAACAAACGTTGGAATTTTTACACTCCCATTGTTTAGTGTTACTTAAAGGGTAGCTCAGGTCAGACTTTATTTTCAAGGAATTCCTGCCTAGGTTTGCACACCGCAGCTGAACCAGATGGTTACTGACAATATCAGGAAAAGTTTACAAATTTCCTGAGAATTTTGAATCACCTTGATTTTTGTGAGGAAAAACATACAATCCATCAAATAAATCGCTTAAAAACACAGTTAAAAGGGTCAAACCATTTTGCGTAAAAATAAGGGGAAAACTCTTTTTATCAGACTATCCTTAGTGCCAGAGTAACTTATTGGTCATCTCTGATCCTGTCCTCCCTCATGATGTCTGTAAATGGCCTTTGTTTCATAGGTAACAGTGGTTCCCTCCCTTATATGTGTCATAATTGAGTCACATACAGATTTTGTGAGAACATCATGAAAAAAGATATCCATGTTTGTATATGTGCTGAACAATACGTATAACAGGTGCTGGTATGTGCTTTGAGAGTAACAGGTGGTCCTAAAAACGAAAGTTATTAATAGCCACTTTAGAGAGAAAGAGGAGACAATTATGAAACGCTGAAGAAAAATATAAATGAACGTTGAGTCAGTAGTTAAGAATTTTTTAAATGTGGGGTCACGACAGAGCCAAAAGATGACATTTTAAACTAAAACGTGAGGTCAACATTGTCTCGCATGTAGAATCACATCTACATGTACATCTACCACCAGGTTTTTATATAAACACTTAATATATTATTTTCAAACAGTCACAGGACCAGTACTTTTATGTTTTTACATCTTATTGGACATGGTGTTGACTCTGCTGATATTTTGATTTTACATGCAATTTCTGGAGTCAGTTCTTTATCACAAATGTCACAAATGTATGCTTGTATTTAACTGTATTGTTTGGTTGATGAATGAAATAAATGTACAAATTAAAAAATCCTTAGTCTTTCATTGAGCTGTACTCTAAACTGAGTTAAAGCTCCAGTTAAGCAGGTTAATAACACACTTAGAGGATATCCATTATAAGTCTTAACATATTCTTACAGTTGGACTATTTGGAACCTGTTTTGTGTCACAGTTAAAGTAAATGGTCCGAACATCTGCAAACATTTAGGTTGATACTAATATTAAAAGTACTATCATTCCTAGTCAAAGACACTTTTGTGCATCATCTTGAGGTATTATGTCATAGGCAATATGTTGAAATTCACATCCAAAAATAAATGAGGCCCTTGCACTTTCCTTTTAGTTGCCAAATATATGTTTTTCTTAAACCTCAGCACAAAAATCATGTAAAAGGAGAAATGGCCACAGCAATTTGTGTGGGTGTACAAATAAGCCTGGGACAAAACGACACTTTAAACTTTTTATTGTGAGAATGAAAGTGTGTGTGTGTGTGTGTGTGTGTGTGTGTGTGTGTTGGTGGTGGGGTGGGGTGAGAGATGGGGTGGGATGGAGTGCTGTGTGTGTGACGATGATTCTGATGCCTAATCATCAGATACGCCTACTCCCTATAGACATTCATGTAGAGTCACATTGCCTTAGACGAAGACAGATTGGGGGAAATTTCAAACGTGTCACAACAATTTACCTTCTATAGCAAATTATGGAATGTATTTATTGGGACAGAGGTTGCAAATTAGAAACCTGTATGCATGGCATTGCTTCATATTTACATGAAGCAATGTTCATTGCATGTGTCCCTGTTAAATAAACAAACAACATAGAAATAAGACACAACAGTAAAATGTTTTACATTGCTTTAGAAGTCTCTGGTAATGCAAACCAATTAGCAGGGAACAGAATGTAGAATGATACACATTTGAAAACAAAAAAGAAACAAAGCAAATTCATATGAATTGACCATAACCTTCATATATGCACGTATATGAATCAATCAGTCCATCACTTTAGGGTTCATTTACAACATAGTAAATATCACAGCATCTATTGGATAGTTACCAGTATATGTTGAATAATGTATTAATTGTTTCAAGAGGATAATTGTTAACTTTTGTAATGCTCTGATTTGTTTTGCCAGCATGTGAGGGTTAAATCTTTTTAGATGAAGTGAAATGACTTTACAACTGCTGAGTGGGCTGTAATAAACTTTGAATGTAAGGCATCTGAGACTCGACTTTGGGGAAAATTAGCATGCAAACACATAACTAAGGTTGCACTTATTATGATCATGGTATATATTGCTTCTGCTCAGGTGAGAATGTGGGAAGGTTGTCATGCTGCAGTTAGCATTGAGTTCAACGCACAGCAGTGTCTAAATGCAAAAACGCATAGTGCTTTTGACTTTTTTTTTCTAGAGGTCACTGAGTGAAAATGACGAAACTTTATCACACGCACAGACATTCCTTTAATAGACCCTCCAAACAAAGACACAATCAGTTTTTCAAGTCTCTATCAAAAATCAGTTTCCTTTGAAAAATAAATGTCTGCGTGTTTATGTAGATATGAAATATGAAATGGGCAGAAAGTGTTTATGTGGTACTTAAAAAAGACTGAGTGGAGGTTGTGGAAAGTGGTCCTCTGGGATCAGTTGTAAACTCTTAATTGTTTTTCTGTTCAAGGCTTGTGAACTGTGATGCTTTGGCAGTATGTAGGAGTAACAGCATTATATTACCTCAAAAATGAGGTGACGATAACATTAAAAACCTCTTTTGTAAAAAAGACTTGTCAAGGTGGGGACTCATAGCGACATGCCACCGACAACAGTACAGCAAAAAATATATCACATCAGAATCCTGATGTACACAAAACATTTCAGAAAAAGTAAGTTAACAATAATAAGTCATGTGTTTGTTGTTTGAAAAACAATTGCAGCTAACAAAGACATAATCCTTTATATCCAGATTTGAAACTTCTGAAAATAGGGAAAAAAGGCAAAATCATTCAAAATGATAACTGGACAATCAGCACATGATTACAGGGAAAGTTGATACAACATAGCATGACAACGATGTTGTCTAAGATATGAGACATATAAGACAATATTTTAGCATCAGCTGGGTCTTTTTTTAAGGGTATATGGGTACACAGCAAAGCATAATAACCATGTTTTCATGCATATTACCCACAAACAGCAGTTTAACTGGAATACATTGGACAGGTTTCTTTGTTAATAGCACATAATCTCCTGATTCATTAACAGTAAATCACTGTTTCGTTGTTAAAATGACTTTTCCTGTCGTAGAGGAAAAATATGGAGGTCCCGTCTGTCTATATATTTCGAGATCTCTGCAGGCACGTGTCAAGCAAGGCTTCATTACTCTCTCCATCATCACACAGAAGAAGGAAGCAGACATCTGGGGGAGTAACATTGTGTTCTCTGGGAACAGCAACAAGCAATTGGAGTTAATTACAGCCAAATATGTAGGCTATCTAGTTAAGCTGATGAGTAAACAGAACGGAAGCAAAAGTAGG